GCTGAAGCCCAATGGAACTTGGGCAGGGGTGTGATTCTGCAGACGTCGTGGCCAGGAGCTGAGGGACGTGGGGACACTTTACTGTCACCAAAACCCCAACAGTACAAAATTGTGACTGGTGTGGTTCTGCCGTTCTGTTGCCAGTGCTGAAGGCTGTCTTTAGTACAGGTTTTTCTTTCAAAATGTGTGTAGGTGAAAGAAGAGCTGCTGAAAGCAGCGCGTGGGTCCCTCACCTTGTCTGCCGTGCAGCAGTCAGTGCTCCAGGAGCAGAGAGGCAGGGGACAGGTTAGGAAGGAAATCCCTTGGTATTTGCAAATCCCATAGTAATAAGCACTGCTGGGAAAAGGAAGGCATCAAAAATGTAGGGCAATTAAGTGAGACTTGGGTGGACACAACAGTAGTTTTAGGAGGTTCCAGGTTCAGGGAACTGTGGACATAGCCTTAAAGTAGTGTAATTAAGTTTTGGTGATAAGAATTCAGATTAGCAATCCATTCAAGGACTCTTTGCAAGGGCAAAGCAGTTGTCCTTTTGATTTTGGGTGCAGCAAGTCTGAAATGCTTGTTGTGTGCCAGAGGGGGTAGAGGCAAAGTGGTGGGCAGCAACAGCCACCGGCAGGTGAACTGCCCGAAATGGTGTCAGTGCAGCCCTGACCTTGCTGTGTCCTTAGATTGTCACAGCTACAATTCTGCTGTTTAAAGGGAAATCTTTTTCCTTTGTTGGTTCTTCTTTCCATGGCCCATATTTGTGGCAGATGTGCAGTGTTAATAAGACAACGTGTTTCTCGCTGGAAACCTGAACTGTCATGTTACAGCAGATCCTCTGCTTACACAGTAGGAAACTGCACATTAGTGCCAAAGGAAAAATGCTAGTGATGTTACTTCAAAAACAGCTGGGATACTTCAAAAAACCATTGCTCAGGATCCTTGTAATTACTTCCTAAAGCTGAGAAACGTTTGGGAGAAGAGTAGCTATGCCTAACTGCACTGGTGAGTGTGTGAGTGGCAGTGCTTGAGCAGAGCCACTGGCCTGGGAGTGGGACTCGCTCAGGTGGGAGGAGAAACAAGCTCTGTGTAACTGGGATTCTGTCCTGATCCACGTACTGTGAGTAAGGGATGTTAATCAGAGCCGTGTGTGGAATATTTGCAGAGCTGTTGCTGGAAGCCTCTGGATAGGCCTGTCCTGGGGTATCTGCTCCCTGTGCATCCTGTTCCTTCCCAGCTCCTTTCTGTGGTCGCTAGCTCTGGGTCCTCTTGTGCTGCTCTGATATGTTGATGCAGTGACAAGGAAGTGGAGGAGCACATTTAAATACCTAAACACGCAGAGAACTAGAGCTGAAATATCCTGTGGATCTTACATTTGTTTTCACAATTCTGTAACTGCGTCTGCATCTCAGCATTTTCCAGCATCTAGTGTGGAGCCTCTCTGGTTTTTAGAAATGCAATGACAAAAATGTTCTTGTTTTTTGTCACTGCATTTTGTTTGGAAGGCAGATGTTTTCGTGTATTTATGGATTCTGTATGCTTTTGTGGACTTTGAAACCAGTAGGATTTATATGCATATGTTTCATGGAATGCCCTACTCGGAGAGTAAAAATAGTGGCTTTTTAAAATGTTTTGCCTCAGGTAAGTTACTCACCTCGTGCTTTTTATATTCCTGTGGCTCTCACTTCCGAGGTGCTTACTGTGAACAAACAACAGTGGCAGGCCCAGTTTCCTGGTGGGTGCCAGGGGCTCTGCAGGCAGCCCTGCCTCCTGGCCTGGCTGCAGCCAGGCAGCTCTGCTGGCACACTTCCCTCCATCCCTCCAGGGCCTGATCCCAGCTGGGAATGGAAAATCATGTATTTGTGTGGCTGGATTTCCAGCAATGCTCTAACCTGCCGTTTGTACCACAATATATCTGGGCACATATGTGTATGAGGAAACTTAAGGTACAGGCAGCCTCTTTTTTTTTTTTTCCCTGTTCCCTTTTTCAGCTGCAGTACACTCTTGCTTCTGTCAAAAAGTGGAATATTCGTCTGCAGTCCACAAGTCATGCTCTATATAGTAATTGGTTTTAAAAATAGTTTAAAAAATATTTTTGGAGAATGTTCAGAATAGCTATTGCACTGCAGAGAGTCTCCCCTCGTGTAGCCTGCTGAGAGTACCTTCTCCCATCAGAGCAGCTTTCCCACTCGTCCTTGGAGCATTTCATGGCATTTCTGGATTGCTGAATTACGAGTGGGACGCAGCTGATGTCGCCTGCTCTTTGCCATAGGAAGAACTGAAGGTGCTCTGGAAATGCTGATGTTTATTTAGCCCTGTTTGCTGCTTTCCCTCTCTGGAAAATTTCTCTCACCTCTGTGAGTTCAGAAGGAATTTAGGGTACGTTAGTAATGCTCAATGGAAACATTTGACCTTGGACTCCAGTTTACTTTGTTTTGTTGGGTGGTGGTGTTTTTTGAACTGCTGTAAACCCTTCAGGTGTGTCATGTGGTTAGGAGAACAAACAGCATGTCCAGGAACATGTTACAATAAAATGAGCTTCTAGCTACTTTGCAGTGAATATGGATCTTCTTCAGTTGCTGGGTGACCTGCTCAGGCTCTGAGAAGCTGGTGAGAAGGATTCCTGAGTTACACCCCCGTGGCAGATCCGTGCAGTAGTATTGATTGTAGCCTTTGGTATCTTCATGCAAGGCTATCGATTGGTGCTGCATTGAGATGCAGGTTATGCTCACCTACACTTGGAGCCAGTGTTTCATTAAAAACCAGGGCAAGGAAGAAAGCAGTGAGGGGATAAAACTGTTGACTCTCATTTGTCTGCAGTCCCCAGAAACTGATGAAAGCTCTTGTTGCTAATGTGCATTGTGGATTAGGCAAAGCATTAACAATAGTATTTTCCCCCCTTATGAACAGCTGCTTGCAGTGGAGAACTGGAACAGCACACGGAGAGACGGGGAGTCATCTACAGTCCTTCCTGGCCACTCAACTACCCACCAGCAGTCAACTGCAGCTGGTACATTCAAGGAGATCATGGAGACATGATCACAATTAGGTATGGGTTGATATCCCGTGGAGTTTCTGCTGAAATGAGACGAAGTGCAAGTTGTGGCCTGGTGTTGGCAGTGTGAGGCTGCCTGTCAGAGCTGGGTGGTCACAGAAACCAGAGCTGATTACCCTGGAACATAATTACAGGTTGGGCACCTCTCTTATTTCAGATATGTTTCCCTGTGTCTTGTTCCTGTAGCCTTCTGACATCTGTTATTGTACAAGTCACTCGTAGGCTCTTAACACGTTTATCTTCACAAGGCCCAGGTGAGATTTGTGCCTCTGGTGGATGAGGGGGTGAGAAACACAATATATGTGCTCACATTGAATAGTTCCCTCTCTCTTCACTGTTTATAAATAGGAGGAGGTGAAGGCTATAAAAGCTGGAACAGCCTCAGTGGGGTACATAGAATTCTTAGAGCAAAAATGGCTTTTTCTCTAAGATCTTGGAATGGTGCTATGTTTAACACAGGGTTGAAGATAATAATTGCTGCTTGTTACTTGTTAGCCAAGAGACACATGGTTTTTAATATTTATTTCCAACAAATTAGATAATAATTAGCATTCATGGCAGAATTTCAGCTCAAGTCTAGAAAAATGCTATACAATAAAGACTAAAGTATATGACAAATGGTTTGGTAAGAATGCCTAGGCTGCAATGTGAGCATACGGTGAATATGCTCAATTTCTCTGGGCTAACCATCGAATCCTCCTCAAACCAAGAATTTCTTACTTAAAAAAAACCCCAACCTAGGAAACGTTTTTTGTTTGGTTTTTAGTACTGTTGTGTTTGACACCATCTGCTCATTCTTTGCTCAGCTGCTTGAAAGGACTGCAAACCTCTTCAAGTGCAGATGCTCAGCAATTAAAAACAAATCTGCCACAGATGGAATAATAGGAGGACTCCACCATCCGACGTTCCAAATAGGAACTGCTCATCAGGAGCAATGGAGTAGGTACCTGCCAGCATTTCAGATCCAGAAATAGCAACAAGCTTTTAAACCCCATTACATTGTACTGGGCTTGGGGAGTTTGTTTCAAAGCAGAGACTGTTGGAAACGCTGAGAAAGCATAAAAATGAGACACGAGACTCGGCTCTGGAGAGCAGTACGGCAGTTTGTGCTATGGAAAAGTCCCAGAGCTCCCAGTTAGAATTAGGATTCTCTTCTGCAAGTGCAGCAGAGGCTAGAGAGATAAAGGAGAGTGAGGTGTGGAAACTGGTAGCAAGGTGTGTGCAGTTTGGATGTGTGCATGGCATCTGGTCTGAAAGATTCCTCTGGATGGTTTGATTTCTGTCGTGGAATACACAGCCGTGTCCTGCCCTCCCCTGCACACACACCCCGGGAGTGATGTGTCTGCATCCCAGGGACCAGTGCTGCTCTGGGAATGACTCACTGCAGTGTGTGAGATGCAGAATGTCACAGCATCTGAGGATTTCTCACCAGGCTCTGGTCCTTGTAGCGCCAAGGACGTAAGGAAGCAGCTGACTTGCCTGGGCTGATGTGATGCAGGCAGACTGAGAAAAGGGCTCAAACACAAACATCCTTTCCTCTCAGCAGCTGGGTGTGCTTCTTGTCCTAACTGTGTTGCAAGGGCAGAAGAGTAGCTTTTTACTTTTTGCTAGGGAAACCAGCCACAGTTCTCGTGCTAACATCTGGATTTTGGAAGGTTTCCAGACCCACCTCCTTTGAGCTGTGTCACACCGAATACATTTCCTTTGATCCTGAGCCCTCACTGGCAGTGAGGCAGCAATGTTATGTAAGAGATCTGTCTAACGAGATGCAGCAGGAGTCATTAAGGGATAAAATTGCAATGCAAAGTGTTTGTGAGCTCTAAAGCACTTGCAGTGGGGGTCACGTTTTACACACCCATTATCCAGCAGCTTTCAGCAGAGCAGTGCGTGGACAGACCTGTGGATGGAAGGTGCTGGTTCCTGTGGGCATCTCCTTCAGAGGCTTTGTCCTAATGTCTGTCTTTCATGTGTGTGTATTCATTTTCTTCCTGTCTTCACATCTCCGTGCTTATTCTTTTGCTTCATAGTTTACTTTTGAGAGATCTTTGGGAGAGATTTCCCGTGAACGGGAAGTGTTATGTTCCTTGTGCTGAAACTGCTCTGTTAGTTTTGCACATTTCAATACTTCCTTCCAAGTTTGTGTGCCTGATGGAATGGTCCTGTTGAGACCTGGGAACAAGTGAGTAGCCACTACTTTCCAGGACTGTGTTGTGTCTCTTGGAATTCGTGTAGTCAGCCTGTTAGTTATTGTTTTAGAAGCTACTTGATTTTTCCACCCATTTTCCCTATCTTTATGCCTGTTTTCACAGAGGACCACATAAACCCCTGTGAGATCAGATGAAGATGTCTTATGCAGTAGCTGCCTTTGTACCATCCTTTCCAGGTTTGATAGGTGTGTGTTTCCTCACGTTTGAGAAAGATCAAAGTAATTTCAGTTTAGCAGTGGCTGTTACCTGGTGGTTGTAATTAACCCTGATGTGGGCAGAGCATGCATGCATTACTTTACTCGAGGTGTTTATGGGACTGAGAGTAAAACCTTCTCAAGGTTCAGAGTGCTGAGAAGCAATCAGTGACCCACTCAATCTGTCTCCTGTTAACTGGGTCAGGGGGTACCTCCTTCATTGGCTTTGCAAGGAGAAGTTCTCAGATGCCATTTGAGTTTTGATGTCTGAGTGACACTGATTCCTGCTCACCTAAAGGCTTGCTGAGCTGTGATTGTGGGAAGAGTTGAAGGAGCTGCTTAGTGGTCTACTGACCAAACTCAGTGTCTCAGAATTGGCATTAATTGGGGAAAAAAAACTCATAGTAGCTATTTCTTTCAGTCAGTTGCCTGTGCTCAGCTTGTGAAGAAGCTGCCCCAGTGTCCCTTGCCCAGGGTCACGCAGGTCCCAGTGCTGGGAGCAGAATGGAGCTTGCCTGACTTCAGGTCCTCCTGCTTCAGTGGCTTAGCAGAAGTTTTTAATGAGCCAATTAAGTCATCAGTTGTTCACAGCCTGCACTTGCTGTGAGAGGTTGGCAAATAGAAGTAACTTTTCCTGCTTAATTGGCTGGTTTGTTTTATTTTGGGACTGTGCTCCACTGATCTACCCATAATGTTTATTCTCCAGTTTTCAAAGTGAGTTTAGAGGGCCAAATCAGACTTTTTTTATTTATTTTGTTTACTTTCATTCACATTTTGCATCCCATATTTGTCCTTTGCCAGTTATTAAGAATGTTTTGGGGGTTTGGCTTTAATCTCTAGTCACTTGTGCTTGAATTTCCAAAAGGCTTGTGGAGAATTCCTTACATTATTTATACAAGTAGGTTTTTTTCCCAGCTGCTCCTGCCCCTTTCAGTGCAGGTGACAAAACACATAGCTCTGCTAAGCATTAGTTTTGCAGGTAGCACATTTTTCTCATATTTCCAGACTGCTAATGTGCATTTGTGATAATCTGGTTGAATAAATTTCTTTCCAGCAACATAAAACCACCTTTCAGTTAATAGGAAAATATCATTATAGGCTGCAGTTACTTCATTTGAACTGATATATACGACCGAGCCTGTAATTTTCTGTGAGCTCCTGGAGCTCTGCTCACTGTGGGGGGAAACCTTTTTCAGCATCATACCTCTGAAAGGAAAATCAGATGAATTTACTGGTGTCCACAGAATTCTGCAAGAACAAGATTTAGTGCTGCCTTTGTCAGTTGACACTGAGTTGTTCTGATCCTCAAAGTCTGACTACTTCCAGTGTTAATAGACTGTTGTTGTACTTTTGTCCAGAAGTGGGGGATTTGTACAGGAATCAGCTGTGGCAGAGACATTCCACAAGCAAGATAACTGGAGTGAGACACAAAGGGCCTGAGACCTCCCTCAAGAACAGGTTCCATTCAGTACTTTTCCAGAGGCTGTGAGATGTTTGTATAGTCCTGCAGGCAGTAGGAGCACAAGACTTTGCCCCTTATTTCCACTCTGTACCATCACTCATTCAACCACTGGACTAATCCTTTGGACAGAAATTTGCATTCCAGTTTGAGAAGGTTCAGCTGAATAAATAAATGTCCCTGCACTCTATTTTGTGGGCAGCAGGATTCAATTATTCTTCAGAAGATTGTAACAGCAGCAGCGCTAGATCTAATTAGAGATGATGAAAGAAGTGAAGTAGCAGAGGTTGAGCACAGTATTCAGGACTCAGCTAAAATAAATCAGTTGTCTACTTAATGTCAGAGTAGTATGGCAGAAACTTTGACACAAGACCTTGTTGTCACAAAGGCATTATAAAGCAGAACCCAATTTTATATCTTAATATGCACACTCAGATGTGTTCCTGTGTCCATATTTCTCTGCAAGTGAGTGTTTTTTTGGGCTGAGGGCTCATTCAAATACACCATGCTTTTAGTCTTGAGTAAAATCACCATCAGTTTAAATGAGGGAAAGTTTGCTCCTAGTCTAGGTTGGATGTGAAAAAATTTTTTTCCCTGTGAGGGTGGTGAGACCCTGTCCCAGGGTGCCCAGGGAGGCTGTGGCTGCCCCAACCCTAGTGATGTTCAATCCAGGCTGGATGAGCCTTGAGCAACCTGCTCTGGTGGGAGGTGTCCCTGCCCAGGGCAGGGCTTGGGGCTGGATGATCTGTAAGGTCCATTCCAGCCCCTAAATTCTATGATTCTCCTGCAGCAGACTTCAGGAGAGTGCCTATAGTTTCCCTGATGCTTTGGCTAATTCCTTTTCACGCTGCATTGCCTGCTCATACACTTTCTTGGTCATTAAAAACGCTTTTTGCAGAGCACCTGTGACAGAAATACTCTTCAGTTTATCTTTGCATGGCTGAGTACTTACATCTTTTCATTCTGACTGCACAGTCATCTGAAAGTTCCTTGCAAAATATGCTGGTTTCAGAAGCTTGATGAGATTGCTTATAGCAAAGTACTGTGTGTTGTGTGGATATTTCTTCCCAGCTGGGAAGACACACAGAGCATGGTGGGAGAAAAAGAGTTAGGGAAAGGAAATATTTCTGGGTGGATTGTCCTTGCCTGCACATAAGTTGTTGGACATCTTTTAATTTTCATTTAACTGAACAGTTTCAGTGCTCTCTTGCTTCTCATGCTTGGCAGAACCTGCAGGTGTGTGTGGGATGGGTCTCCTGCTCAAATCATTGGGTTTATTGCTGTTCTTTCCCTTTCACCTTCAAAGGGTAAGATCTGGCAGCTATTGACACCTTTTGTGAATACAGTGGTATCATAAAATCATCTTTCCGGTACCTTTTGCAGAGAGTTTACGTTTGTGAAAAGTCCTTTGTGGAAGGAGCTCTGTATTTTGCAGCAGCTTTTCAATCTTTCTGGAACTTCTGCCTAGGTGTTTGCATGGAGTACACACCAACTTGTGCTGGGTGAATTTAGTATAGCTGAGTTTTATGAAGGAGGACCAAACTTGGTTTCCAAGTGCTCTGAGTGGTGTGCCCTCTCCTGATGAGTGTGCCTTCCTGTGCAGTCTGCCCTTGTCACTGCAGATTGCTGAATGCAAATGCAATCTGTTTCATCAGGGAACAAACACCACGTGTGGCTCCTGAGCCACAGGTCAGGGAGTATTATCTGCCTGTGCTCAGTGTTCTGCAAACAGTCAGGGCACCTCTTGGCACTGCTGAATTAATCACTGGGCCCGGGTCAGCAGGAGGGCTGGAAGTTTGACTGTGAAAGGTTATAGCCTTGTTTGCTCTGTATTTGCATTCCCAGAGAGGAAATATTTTAAGTTTTGAATTAAAAACTAATAGTGTTAGATTTTAGGATCCACTTCCACCCCTGTTATCTTCTTGCTCTCTCCCTGCCTATTCCACTGCTTGAAGAGTGGATTTGTGTCTCTCATACTATCCCCTTAGGGTTCTTTGTACTGCTTCCCACTGTTCTTTTTCCAAGACAGTGGTTGCCTCTGTCATCCCTGTTTTCATAGCTTTTATGGTTGGAGATGACTGCTGAAACGAATCTACCTTCTGTATAATGTGTTCTGGAATTTTGCTTTTCCTCATACCTGTGTTTTAGGAAGCAGTTTTGTTTAAGAGGAATCATTCTTCCAGCATTTGGAGCTACTTGGCAAGCTGTTTATGCCTGTGAGATACTTTTCCAAGCTGGAGGAATCTGAGTGCTTTGTTTAGATGTACTCAAGGTCCTGTGGAAGTTTCATTACCTTTGAAGGTGATGTCTTTATGTCAGCACTGCTTGGTGCAGAAAGTCAGCTGTTGGAATCTGTTTTTCTCTGTTTGTTCCAGATACACATCCTCTCTGTTATTGTGTTTCCTTTTGTTCCCCACAGTTTTAAGAACTTTGACTTGGAAGACTCCCAGAAGTGTGCAGTGGACTGGTTGATGATTGGCCCATCTTCCAAGAGGGAGGAGTACAAAGTGTGTGGCTCTTCCATACCTCCATCTTTCATCTCTGCAAGGGACCATGTTTGGATATTTTTTCACTCAGATGCATCAAGCTCAGGACAGGCTCAGGGATTTCGTCTTTCTTATATTAGAGGTAAATCTTACTGTTTTGTTGGCTTCACTTACACTCTCCCTGGCAAAACCTGGACCGTGGTAGTATTTTTCTCCTGACAGGAGTCTGGAGCCAGTGTTGGTGGCTGTAAAGTGTTCAGATGGTAACACACATACTATTTGCCCTTGGCTTTTCAATAGCATTCCTGAAGTGTTCTGGCCTGACTGACTAACTGGATATGCAGGGTAGTACATGTTAAAAAGGGGCATTGGGTAGTTCCAACCATTTTGATATTGACTTTTTTCTCCTCGTTTGCAGGGAAGACAGGCCAGGCTGTGTGCCAGTCAGATGAATTTCGTTGTGCCAACGGGAAGTGTATTCCCAGTACCTGGAAGTGTAATTCCATGGATGAGTGTGGTGATAACTCGGATGAGAGAAACTGCACTGTCCCTCCAACAGACCCTCCATCCAGCATCTGCCCCTCAGGAATGTTCCAGTGCAGTGCAGCCCACTCCACCAAATGCTTGGTGAACGAGCTGAGGTGTAACTCAGTCAAAGACTGCAGCGACGGTTCGGACGAGGATAACTGTCCTGATCTTTCCTGTGGCAAAAAGCTGGGTAATTTTTATGGCTCTTTTGCCTCCCCAGACTTGTTCCGTGCCGATCACAGCCGATCGGACCTTCGCTGCACGTGGTACGTGGACACACAGGACAACAGACACGTTCTGCTGCAGCTCGACTTGCAGTTAGGCTACAACGACTACGTAAAGGTGTACGACGGCATTGGGGAGCGAGGGGACAAATTAATGCAGACATTCTCACACCACAACAACAGGCACTCGGTGAGCGTGGAGTCGTCCAAGGGCCAGCTCACGGTGTCCTACCACGCTCGCTCCAAGAGCACCGGCCACGGGTTCAACGCGACCTACCAGGTGAAAGGTTATTGCCTTCCCTGGGAACACCCGTGTGGAAGTGACGAGGAGTGTTTCACGGACAAGCAGCACTGTGATGGCTGGTGGCACTGCCCCAATGGCAAGGATGAGGAGAACTGTCCTGCTTGCCAGAAGAACGAGTACCCGTGTGAAGGAAACAGTGGGCTCTGTTACTCAATCCTCGACCGCTGCAATAACCAGAAGAACTGCCCAGATGGCTCAGATGAGAAAAACTGCTTTACGTGCCAGCCAGGAAACTTCCACTGTGGGACAAATCTGTGCATCTTTGAGACTTGGCGCTGTGATGGCCAAGAAGACTGCCAGGATGGAAGTGATGAGCACAACTGCCTGGTGATTGTGCCCAGGAAGGTCATCACGGCTGCTCTGATTGGGAGTCTGGTGTGTGGCTTGCTGCTGGTGATAGCACTGGGCTGTGCCTTTAAGCTGTATTCTCTGAGGACCAGGGAATACAGGTATGCATCTTGCTTTGGTGATACTTTCATAGCTGTGGTGGTTTTCTCCTTTTTGTTTAAAGGAAAAGAATGTTGATTGTTAACCAGATAATTTGTGAACTACTGTGAAATCAAATCCAAGGACTTGCTGGCAGCTAAATTGCAGCCACTGAATTAGGCTTAGAGAATTAGGATTTTCAGGAGTAGTGAGGGGAATGTCAGCTCCTCTGTGATCTATGAGAAATACACATTTGTTGTGCAGCAAAGCAGAATCTGTATCTAACTGAGATCTGTATTGAGCAATTTCCTCTTCCTCCTCCTCCCCTTGCAACAAACCCGTTGCCCTTGCCAAAACCTGAATTCCTCCTCCTCCCCTTGCAACAAACCCCTTGCCCTTGCCAAAACCTGAATGCTGAACTGCTACAGTGAAGTCTTCACTGAATCTGGACCGAATAGTCTCTAACCCTCCACAAATATTCTAGTCCTCCATTCTGCACAAAGCCATGTCCTGCAGTGGTGGGGCCTTTTCTGGGCAGGAGCTGTCCACACTGTAAGCTGTGCCCCTTCCCCTGGTCCTGCATGCCTTGCTGTGTGGGCAGTGTGTGTTTCTGTGCCCGTGTGTTCTATGTTTGGGGAGTGTGGCTCTGCCCGTTGGGAGAGAGTCATAAGGGACTTCCTGGTTCCTGTCTCTGGGCTGTGCTGCTGCCACTGTGGGTGTTCTCAGCAGTGTGCTGTGCATTCCCTCCTGGTCAAACCTGTGTGATTGGGGAGCTGGGAAACAGCCCCTGGGCTGTGTTGGGATCCTTGGTGCCTCTGCTCTGGCAGGACTGCCAAAGCTCACTGCCACTGCCCCTGTTGGGTGATTGTTTCCAGTTCTTGGTGTTGTCTTTTCTAAAATAACTTTTGGGCCCTTGTGGAACAAGTTGCCACTGCTACTGGCGGTAGCAGTTACTGGCCAGTTGCAAAAACTTCAGTTGCCACAGGGTCCAGCCAGAGAGTTTGCTGGTTTGATTCACCAGTGCTTATACCCTGCACTCTTTGTCCCTTTGTTTTAGCATCCTGGTTTTCATGGAGCTTAGTTGAAGGTTTGTGGTTTTGCTGCTAGCCTGACCCCCTTCAGCAGTCCTTTTATACATTAGTGTGAAGGAGACAGGACAAACTGAATTCCTTTCTGTGCTTTCTCTCTGGTTCTGCTCCCAGGGCGTTTGAGACTCAGATGACGCGACTGGAGGCAGAGTTTGTGCGTCGGGAAGCTCCACCTTCCTATGGACAGCTGATTGCACAAGGACTGATCCCCCCTGTTGAAGACTTCCCCGTGTACAATGCATCCCAGGTATGCAGACGTGAGTGGTATTTCAGCAGGCAAACTCCTGTAAATGAGATAGAATCAATGTGGAGCCGCATTTCAGTGGCCGTGCTAATTGCTGGAAGGGATAGAAAAATGTGTGTTACATGGAGCTGGAGAGCCACAGGTACACGTCCCGGTGCTCTGGGTAGTGCTGAACACATGAAATGTGTTTGTAGGGAGCAGCAGTGAGATAAGCACATGCTGTTTTGCTGTACATCAAGACAGAATGAACAGAGACAGAGGTCAGAAAGTAAATAGAAAAAAGGGTTTTCAAGCTGAAACTGTAAATGTGCCTGAAGTGATAAGAAAGTGAGGTCTGTAGCAGTATTTTGGGGAAATTCTGGGATTATGTTTTGTGTAGATACATTACACTGGCAAGCCATGAAGTCATCCTTCTATTTCATTGCTGAGTTCTCAGAAAACCCCTGTACCCTGTCTGGAGTATCCAGCTGTGGTACAGTTCCTACTGTTGATAAAGCACTTGTACTTTGTTACTGGAGTGAAGTAACAAGTGGAGCAGACAGGTAGAGCTGAAATTTGTAAGGAAAACACCCTAAGGGAGAGAAGTTGTTGATGTCTCATCCCTGGCAATGTTCAAGGCCAGGTTGGATGAGGCATTGACCCAACTGGACTAGTGAGAGGTGTCCCTGCCCAGGGCAGGGGTGTTGGAACACCGTGGGGTTCTTTGGGTTGAAAGGTCTCTTCCAACCCAAGCCATTCTCTGATTCCGTGAGACCCTTCGGTACAGGCAGAGCTGTCTTTGGTGTTCTTACGGAGTTTGCCGGAAAACGCGCCCTTAAGGAAATCCGGGCGTCACGTCAGAGTCGCGGGGCAGTGTGGATGTCAGTGGGGAGAACAGGGCTCAGGAGGGGTGTGTGGGGTGACTGTGACTCCTGTGTTGCAGGCCTCGGTGCTGCAGAACATCCGCACAGCCATGAGGAGGCAGATGCGCCGGCACTCGTCGCGCCGCAGCTCGTCGCGGCGCCGCCTGGGCAGGCTCTGGAGCAGACTCTTCCACAGGCCCCGGGCGCGAGGGCAGATCCCCCTCCTGACGCCTGCCCACCCCTCTCAGACTACCCTGGGGGACGGGGTCATCACCCAGGCCGAGGGGGCTGTTCAGAGCCCCTCGCCCTCCCCTGCAGGACCTGCTGCAGAGCCGAACGGCCAGCCCAGGGGCCCACAAGAAGTTGGGTGTAGCAGCTTGGAGCCAGAGACTGAGACCACAGAGCCGTCGCCTCGCAGCACCTTCCCCAGTACTTGCACAGCGGCACACGCGGAGCCCGAGGCTGCACGTGCTGACAAACCTGCAGGTGCTGACTCTGCCAGAGAGCTCAGGCAGCCAGGTAAAGCGGATTCAGGAAAGGCTTTCAGAGATCCTCTGTCTGAAAGCGTTACAGAAACGACCCACGGAGGGTCAGCGTCCCTGAGGACTGTCCCAGAGGACAACAGTCTGAGTGGAAGTCATCCGCCGAGCCAAGAGCCATGTAGGTTGCCCTTAAAAAAGTGGGAGTGTGGTTATCCAGACAGCCCTATGAATGTTCATATCCAAGTGGATGGACAGAACCACCCCTGCCCTAACTCCTACCGGGAGGAGCCTTTGGGGGTTCACGTGGCTTGTTGCCATTCTGTGGAAGTGCCAATGGTAGAGTCCTCTACTCCCCTCTCTGATATCAATACCAGTGATGACGAATCTTTACTTGTTTGCTAATAAAAATTTTTGGTTTGGCCCCGTAGATTTTGTAACTTGGTTGTTTATGTGGCAGTGCCCTTTGATGCTCAGGGGTAAGTGCTGCTCTGGACTTTGTCTCAAACCGTGTGCTTCAATCCCACAGGGAGTGCAGTGCCAGAGTAAATGGGACGAGTTTGCCTGAGTTGCTGTTCCTGAACCTCCCCTGGGCAGAAGTAGGCCAGTGTGTGATGTCAGGGGCTAGGAGAGCAAGGATGTCACTGCAGTTTGGAGGTATCTCCACCCTCTGCTATTCCTTCTATACTTTTATTCACTGCATTCAGGGAGTTCGTGTTTCTTTGTGTTCCAAGTGCTCTTACTGAACTAGAGAGAGCCCTGTTGGAACCTGAGGCAGACACCAGTCATTGTAACTCTGAGTAGTAAGCTAGAAATAACACTGTTGTATTTTTAGATAGAATAATTTAATTAAAATTGAAGCATTCTAGTTACAAATACCTAGAAGGAAATAAAATCCTTTGTAGCTTCCCCTTTGTAGAAATTGCTCCCTACCTTTGCTCCCTTCTGCAATGTTTTGATGGCTGGATGTACCTTAAAGCATCCACTAACCCCCAAGTTTCTGTATAGAACACCCAGAGTGAAACCAGGTGACTGATCTGCTGAAGCTCTGTAACACCAGTTTTGCTGTGCTCAGCGTACAGGGAGTGCACTGAGCTCCAGCTGCAGCAATATTTCTGTTGTGAGCTCTTGGATGTTACATTCTCTTCACAGTGATGCTGTGGGGGTTGCAGAATGTTTGCTCTCTCTCTCTCCCCACTTTTTGCCCTCCTCCCTTGTGTTTCCAGGGAGCTAAGCTAAGTGCCATTCCCAAAGCTGACACTGTGTGGGTTGTACCTTTTTGGTTTTTAGAGTGTAACTGAAAGCAGGCAAGCTATTGCCTGGAAGAAGGGTGACACTGCTTAGCCAGGGTCAGTGCAGAGTGGCAGAGCACTGGTCCTGGTGTGCTGGGTGTGCTGGTGCCTGGGCCCATCCCGGCCCAAACAAGAGCTCTGCTTCAGTCCCTGGTGACGCAGTGACACACGACAGTGCTTCAGGCAGGGGCTAACACGGAAGTTGGTGCTGCTGCTCTGTAAACACTCGAGTGTTCTGGAGCCTGTTTGTTGCTGTAGGAATTCAAGTCACCCAGAGTTATCACCTGAAGTTGTAAAATTGGGGTGGACACACGGGACCCTCCTGGATGTGAAGGCAAACAAAGAGCAGTACAGTCTATGTCAGTGTCAGACTTTTCCTTTGAAACAGGCTATGGTTTGCCCTGGGTCTCCCTTTGGGGAGTGCCCTAAAATGAACAAGGAACAGGACTTTGGCTTTACTGAAATGTAGCATGGAAGAATTCAATAGAAGTGGGGTTTTTTTTTTCTTTAGTTGCAAGTGGGTTTCATACTGTACATTCCAGAGGCAGAAGATTCAAATTCCTTAAGGGCATTAATAGCAGGAAGGGCTTGTGGCAAAATATGTAGGTAAGAGTCATAGTTACATGAAATAAATATTGCTCACTCCTTTTTTCCAAGTGGTTCTGTGAGCAGAATTCATCGAAGGAAATGGTGTTTTGAGAGAGATCCTGCTGTCATGGCATTTGTGAACATTCTGAGTACGTCGCACCATCCTGTTCTCAGCTCAGCCTTCATGCTTAAGGCAGAATGTTGATTACCTTAGAGCACGGCAGTGCAAGGAGGGGAAATCTGAGCCAAACCCAGTTCACAACTATGAGGCAATTGGTCCTGGAATTTTGCTTTTAATTTCCTTAAACAACAGCCAAGGAGAGCCTTGGTATCAGTTACAGCATTGCTGCTTGTGGTGTTGTTATAATACTAATACTGCCGTATTGCTGCTTGTGGTGTTGTTATAATACCTAATACTGCTGCGCAGAGTTGTCATCTCAAGAGCTGCAAAGTTTCTGTGCTGACTGATTTCCATCCCTTAATTGTTTAAACGAGTAAAAATAAACCCACACCAAAACATAGCAGTTCTGAAAGCAACTGCTATGTGGGGTAATACATTTCATTTTCCCACTAGATAATAAAGGTACTGAGAAAGTTAATCTGTTGGAAATTATACCACCAGCAGTGGATTTTGAGCTGCAGGAATGGGTGACATGAGTGCAGGGTTCGGGTGCTGCGGGTTTGGTTTGAAAAGCAAGCTGAATAGATGTGATTTTCATTAGCAAACCTTATGTATTCATACTGTGGCTTAAAATCTGGAGTCTCTTCCCATGTGCACACAGACCCACACCTGTTTGCTAGCTAAATACATACTTTAATCTCTTGTGGTTAACAGCTTTGCACAGGGAGGAGAATGTAAGTCGTGTTTCTTTTTAGTGTCTACCATCTGAAAGTTCAGAGAGATTTAAAATATAGGTATTATTATGATGATAGATATTTAAAAATGAAAATATTTCTGAGTAATGAATTCCTTGAACTCGCTCCTTATTTTCAGTCTATGCTGAGATCTTTGTGAAGTGTGTGGGACTTGAGAAACCAAGAGATAATGAATCCCCAATTTTTGTGCCAGGGCCTGTAACGCCTAGAGACTTTCAAAATGAAATCCACATGGCTGTTACCAAGGCTACTGGATGTGATAGTTTTGTTTGTGAAGCCCTGAAGGGATAGTGGCTCAGAGCTGCTCTGGCGTTGTGCGTTCCGAAGGGTTCGGTGGTGCAGACGTGGCCGTATCGCTGCGGCAGCAACGCTCCACGCGTTAATTCCCTGTGTGAACGAGAGGCTTTTCTAGTGTATGCCACAAATGCAACGTGCAACACACTTTGTAAGGAGCAGCTGATGTGTGCACCATTCAGGCTTGTTACTCGGCTGAGCACAGCTCAGCTGGGGAATTGGCTCCGAAGCGCTGCGACACTGCCTGACGCGCCAAGGGGCAGCAGAACATCAGGCTCCAGGCCCTTGGTGCTCTGAGTTCCCACTGCTGGGCCTGCTGCTACCTCCTCCACGTCTCCATCCTCCCCTGCTGGCACCTGGATCACGCTGAGCTTCACGCAAGAGTTCCTCGCCGGGGCAGTGAGCTCCGTCCCGTCCAGGATGCAGGAACCTCCCGGCACCTTTACAGCAACCCGTCAAAACTGAGCCACGTGGGACTTCTATCGACCTCTGTGTCCCCAGTGATGCCCGAAGAGCAGAGCTGAGTGTTGGTGTTGCAGTTTTCACTGGGAGGTCCACCCGGGCTGAGCTGTGCCCAGCGCGGTGCCCCTGCCCGTGTCGCGCGGCGCTCGGAGCTGGGGTGGAGATCCCTCTGCAGGTATGTGAGGGATGATCCTTTGGGCTGTAACTCTGATGCCCTGGGTGTTCTGAGGGGCTTCATTCCACCCAGGGACAGCAACAGGTCTCCTCGCTTTCTCTTGGTTTCTCCACCTTGATTTTGTGGTGGGAGCTGCCCTAGTTCTGAAATGCCTAAATTTGCATGACTGGTGGACCCTCATGGTGGCTAACATCAGCATTCCAGAGCTGTGTCTGTGCTGCTTTCCCCTGCTGAGCGAGTATGCTGCCAGAAAAAAACCAACCAGTGCCTTATTTTACATTTTATTTCTTTTCTCTTTTTTTCTCTTTTTTTTTCTCTCTTTTTTTTTTAAATCTTTTCTTTTCTTAGGGAAAAACTAAAAGCTACAGATGCCCTAGAGGGTGGTAGCTCATTTTATGGGCTTCACTATTGGAGCTCTAAAAACATACATTTTTTTTTCCAGAAAAACTTTTTGAAAAAATCAGCATGTAAACAAGAAGCACTTCAGCCTCGGAGGCCCCGCGGTGTCATTTCCTCGCCGACATCTCGCGCGCCAAGCGCCAGGCGTGGGCTGAGGGGGCCTCGTCCTCCTCGGCACCTCCGCACTGCGGGTACACCACGAAACACAGCTTCTGCCCCCAGCACGTCAGGGACTCTGCAG